ATCATATATATGTGTATATATACGCACTAAATTATAGTACCTACCAATGGAGATTTTCATCAATGTCACTTCGATGCGCCATTTATAAAGTTAATGCCAAGACAATGCGCGATTCGTTATTCGTTATTTATATGAGATTTGTAAATAATTTAAATGGATAAAATTTGTTGAATTCGCATTTATTGTGTTTCTTTGTATTTTGTTTGTTTGTTTTTTGTTTCGAAATTAGTATGCAAATTATTATAAATCAGTCAATTTATATTGATTTATGCACACAACGAATTTTGAATTGTGAATAATGTGACGAGGACCACACTGATGAATTTCTGCAAATGTATGACGAATCAGGAATCGCTCGTAGTCTAGTGCTAGTTTAAAGTGAAAAAGAAGATAAAGAGATGTTTATGTGTATATGTGTACAACGTATGTCGGAGTGCGTTCGGACATTTTTTCAGTTTTGACTTTTCCTGACCATTTTGACCATTTTTGGCCTACAATTATGTAAATTATGTATATTTTTATTGTTTTATATTCATGTGATGTGATTTTGTCACAACGACTGCTATTTTACTTCAAACGTCTGTTTGAGAGAATGTAGATGTATGTATTTATGAGGTATTGTTAAGTTATGTAAATAAAATATCTTAAGGCGTTGGAAAAAATTGTGTAGATATTATTAAAAAAAACGATTATAAACAAATGTGCGTTAATTTGTTTTACTTGTAGTTGCAAAGTCAAAAATTGTGCATTGAAGACCGACCAAAGTCTCAAAAGCAATTTTTGTTTATAGAATCTTTATAAATTTCCCTTCCTGCTTTCTTATTTCGTTTCTAAGATGATCGAATTTTTACAATTTCTACGTCGTCTTTTATTCTGTCTCTTTATGATTGCCGAGCATTTACGATATCGCGATGGGTTGACAATGACGAACTTTTTTCTAAAAAAATATAAGTAAAAACTTCCTCCGATATTTGCTAGATTTCTTTTTATCATCTTGATATCTAATTCTCGTATGATTAATAACAACGCTTCCAATAGCGAAGTGAACGATTTCTCATCCATTTCTTTATTTCTCTTATCATTATTTCTTTTTTCGACGACCAAAGTTAGTTAAATAACATTCAGAAAGAATGATAACAAACGCTTCTATTTTTTTGCATAGATTGTAATCTTTCAAATCTTTTACAAAATAAACATAATGCAGTATTTAAATTTATATTCAGTTTTAATTATTTATATTAAAATTTATTTTAATTAAATTTAATTCCTTATGTCACTCTACTTTTATTATATATAAAATTATGTAATATTGTTATTATATGTATAATTATGTAATATTATATAATTTATCTTTTTATATTTTATATAACTCTTATAGTAATGATAATTAAAGACAAATTAATTTTAAATTATTTCCCTTGAGTTATTTACTCTTTGCGTTTAAAAAAAACGGCTTTTACCCGAAATTTATTATTATAGTTTGTATTAGAAAAATTTTGCTCTCTGACAATTAAATAATCGTTAATCTTAAGAAAAATGTCTTTTATCTCATACTTATACATTTATCGTTAATCGTATTCTGAGTTTTCAAATAAGCGAAACAAAATAGGAGAATAAAACACTTTCAGTTAGGAATGTTTATATTGGAAAGAGATACCAATTTAAATGTAAATTCTTACCTTATCATAGTTTGTATTCAAGAACTGGACAACTTGGAGCCAAAGTTCATCTCTCTTTATATCATACATGTATTTCTACATATGTGCTAAAAAAAAATTTGCAATAAACATCTTCCTTTCCCACAAAGACGATGATACTCTTCGTGATTGTATATTGTAATAAATGTCCTACGACAAGTATTTCTTAATAACATATCTCAATAAATATATTAATATTTTTTATTCGACATAAAAAGAGATGATCTTCGTAATTTTATTCATAAAGAATTTATTATTAAAGTCTCAACGCGTTCATTCGTTGGGAATACTTTATTTTCTACTGCTCTCCACTGCTTTTAAGGTATCTGATTTTTTTTTGAACGACTTCGAACAAATTTTGACTAACTTAATTGACAGAATTTCTTGTAGACAAATTTATTGTTATATTTTTCTTTTTATCTATAACAAAATCAATAATTCCGTCTAAAATAATAATAAAACAGCTCGGACGATTAGTCGATTAGGGATTATGGTCAATTTAATTAATAAGAATTTAGTCAAAGTTACCCCGACGTACGTCAAAGAGTGAGGACGAGTTATGCGCCGAGTTGTCTACGATTGAAGTTCTCGATTCCGCGTGGCGCATTCCTCGCTAAAGAGAGAGAGAGAGAGAGAGAGAGAGAGAGAGAGAGAGAGAGAGAGAGAGAGAGAGAGGAGAGAGAGAGAGAGAG